GTTGCATCTAGAGAAATAGTTTTTTCGATGACGGGTGAGTTAATATGTGAAAGTCAAAATATCCTGTAAATATCTTTGTATATATACAATAAAGACACACTATGCTAACCTGACTGCGGGTTAAAAAAAAAAAAAAATAATTATATAATTTATAATAATAATTAATCAAAATTATTAAAAATAAAAATTTGATGAATAAAAAAATTTTTAATTATAATAAAACTTTAAAAATTTTTTACAAAAAATTTTATTAAAAAAATATAAGAAATAAAATAGTAATAAGGTATAATATAGATATATGGATTTTATAATTTTAGTTTTATAATTAAGAATTTAAAAATTGATAAAGATAAAATTTATAATAAAACTATAGTAAATGAATTCAAACTTTTAAAAACAATTGTAATAATAAATTCTTTAAGAGTTTTAAAAAAAATTTTTAAAAAAATCAATAAATAATAAGCTGCTAATATTAATAAAAATAAGAATAAAAATATATATATTTATAAAAACTTAAGAAATTTAGCTTATAAAAACTAAAATAAAATGACAGAATATCAATTAAATTATTTAATTATCAAAAAAAAATAATAAAAGTGATTACAAATAATATACTATATTTAAGAAGATTAATTAAAAATACAAAAGAAAATTAAAGAAAAAAAGAAATATAGATTGAATTAAATGAGAAGAAAAAATAATAGAAATAAATAAAGTAATATATCGATTTTATAAACCAAGATAAGATATTTAAACTTCTATATAAAAGATTTAGGCTAGAAGATAATTGCAAAAGTATAAATCTCATATTAAAAAAAAAAAAAACCAAATTAAGATGAGTAAATAGATTAAAGAAAATTCATAATTTCCTTAAAAAAAATATGAAATTTTAGATATAAAAATTGAAAAGAAGCCTAGAAATCTAATATAGGGATAAAATCAAAAGAGTTCAAATACCTTAATACCTTAATTAAATTAATAATTCACAATAGTATTAAAGTTAAATAAATATAATAAAAAAAAAGAAAAGATAAATAAAAAAATAATCCGAGTTAAAAAAATAATAAATAAATAAATAACCAAGATAGTTAAAAATTGAACAAGGATTGATATTAAATGGTTGGGTTTAAAATTTGATCAAAGCTTTTGTGAAGAATTTGCAATAGTGATGTGATGTCTACTATTGAAAGGGTATTAACTCGAATCATAGATGGAATGATAAGTTAGTTACTTTTAAAATTATGCTTAGAATCAAGATTGATAAAAAACAAGTATGTTAGTTACTACTGTAATTTGACTTTGGCGGGTCATAAATATACTGTATATGTACAGCTTACAATGTTTGATAAAGCTAGCCCGACAACAGGTTAAAAAATAATTAAATTCTTTAAAGTCAATTGTGTAAAAATAGAAATTTATACAATATCTTAGATACCATGCCTGTTACGATTGTCCAAGTTGTTAAAGTTGCTTGCATGTGTGTTTATTTAACATGAACAGCATTAGAGATACCAATTTTGCGTCGTTCCGGGGCTTCGGGATCGGCACGGTATATCACACACGTGATGGTGACCTGAGCATTTGTAGATCGTGGTGTAAATCTTTGATTCGGGTTGACGACATGATTTCGGTCGATAAGTTTAGGTGTAAGGATCAGAATAACTTTAGCTTCGTCGAACTGGTTTGGACATTTACGTTTGAATTTTGGGAAAACTTCATTACGGTATTGTAAATTAACAATATACTGTATATAAAGCAATATACTTGTTTTAATTTTTTAATAAAAGAAATTACAATATACTGTATATACTGTGGATAATTATTTTCGAAAACGACAAAATACTATACTGTATATAGTTTTTTCATTACTACTTTTTGAATAGTACATATATCTTAAAAAAACCATAATCATTAAATCAGAAAATTCATATTTGCCTTCGAATTAGTTATCCATAATTAAGGGATTTTAGCAATTTATTTTTTAATTATATACCTAAATTAACTAGTAAATTACTGATGAAGCAATATTTTGCATGCTCTATGTCAATGTTAATAAAAATGTATGCACATTTGGTTTTCATTTTTTATCAAAGTTATTAAAAACAAAAAATTCAAAATAAGAAACTTAAGTGTCTGGAAATCTATTGCGATCCAAATAACAAAAATATTTAAACGCACGTTGCACATAAAGATCATTGTTACACCTTGCATATGAAAATAACAATTCTACTTTTCTAACGAATTTACGACTTTTTCCGCTTAAAAAAACGTACTGCATGCATTAAAAAAAAAAAAAAAATCGATTTTTTGAATTAACCGAACATTGCATATAAATAGTTAATGATCATAATGAATATCAAACGATCATTGTCTGTTGCGTCACAAAAATCAAACTTAAATAACTGTAGGAAAAACAAATTATTAATAGCCATTATCTAATATTTCTGGACAGATCGAAAGCTTTTAGGATCTTTACAATGGGAAATCGTTCGGCGAATGATTATACAGGAAAGAAGCCACAGCTGAACAATAAGTATTGTTCTTGCGGCTAGTGTCGTCTCTGAGAATTTATTATGCTTACATGTTAAAGATAAAAAAAGGTTGGCTCCAGTGAATATGAGGCGTAAGGTACCTAGGATTTTAACAGCTATAATAGAAGAGGTCATACTTTCTTGAAACATAAAGAATAAACTCTGAGTGAGAGAAATAAAAATCGGATCATATTTCGTGGATTTCATAGGGTTTGGAATTCCTCACGATTATTATAGATAGAAAATGAGTCATTTATTTTATAAAAAAATAAAATCCTTTTATAACTGAGATCAAAAAGTTCTAAATGTCCTCTGTGTTTTCTTTGTTTGGGAAAAGACGAAAAGTCTGAAAATTTAGGCTTTCTATGCTATGTTATGTTATGCGCGGGTATGATACACGCTTCTACGTAACTCACGAGATCATCATCTTATATGAACAAAAGAACAAGCCACAGTGCTTAGGTCACACTATCGCGGAAACAAAATCAAAGCAAACGCCTCGCCATCAAGAACAAGTTACAATACAAGTCGACTTATAAGGATCATTTGAAATGGTTTTCTACTACGTAACATTTACAAATATCTAGCCTCCGCATATCCTCATTCTAACAGGCTAAAAATATTTGTGGCTTAATCTCGCAATTAAATTGTAATTTATGGTAATCTTTAAATTCACTTGCACTGAAAATTGGAATTAACTTCAATTCCAAGTTGTGATCGAGTATTTCTATTAGAAGACAAAGCCGTGAAAGAATGGTGGCTATGCGTGATAGGATTCAAAAGGTGTTATGAATTATAATAATAATAATAATAATTTTTTTTTTTTTTTTTTGAAAATCATTTTATTCACACAGCCACATGCGAGATGAGACAAATGATGTACATTTCACATCCTTCCAAAAATTCAATCTTCAATTCTTTCAAATAAAAGAATTGCGTAAATAGAAGGAATTTATCTTTTACAAAATTGCGCCCAAAAAAATCTTTTATTGAAGCCAGAGATAGATAAATATATATGTATATTAGATGTAATTCAAATAACTGCTGCATTATCCTCTGTCATATCCTGTCTTGAAATTTTTCGCGCTCAATGTCATTTCCTAATAAAAGAATCATTGCTCGAGATGTTACCACCAGCGTAGATCAGCCCACTTCGACCAACACCAAAACTTCAACATCCTTTGATAATAAATTAAATGAACCGGCGGCGATAGCTCTCATCGCTATTGCAATTTCTGTCCTTGTCATTGGTTTGGTTTTTATTATAATCATCCTTCTCCGTCGTCGAAAAAAAGAGAAACAAAGTCGTGGGCTAAAACCATTTTATTTGCATCCACGAATTGAGCCCGTCCAACACCAGCGCAGCCGAAAATCTCCAAAAGCTCCAACTTATGATTCAAATATTACTGATTTTGAGGAGGAAGGAAAGGAAGAGCCATTTGAGGAATCTTATGCCGAAGGTGCGGTTGGATCAGCGGCAGTTGCATCTCAACACCCTGGTCGCAATATACCCACTAGATCGCAAACCATGTATGGCACCACCAATCCTTCATCTTCGACTCATTATCCAATATTACAAGAACATCATTTTATGTCATCAGACCAAAACGATAATAATAACAATTAGGAGATACGCAAGGGCGTGAAGGGATTCTCTCTATTTGTCGTAATAATTTAAAGATGCGCATTATGGGGTGGAGGAATTGATTCACACAGAGTAATGTTCACAGCAATCTCGGAAGAATTAAATTAACGTTATTTTCTTTATTTATTTTGTATGTACGTATGTTAAGGATATTCTCGCTACATACGCATACCATTATTGTGGATCATTTTCTTTTGTATTATAAAAAAGATGTTTACTGCATAAGGTAATCTTTGTCCATAGTTCAAATAAACTTTTGCAGGTGTCATTTTGAGCGGAATTAAATTTCTCCAGGATCGAGGCATAGTTGTACAAATGGTTTAAATAATAAAAATTTTGAACACTTTTGTATCTCTTAGACAACATGGCCGAGTGGTTAAGGCGTCAGACTTGAAATCTGATTCCCATAGGGAGCGCAGGTTCAAACCCTGCTGTTGTCGACAAATTTTCATTTTCCTTTTTTTTTTTTACACTAATTAATTACCGAGTTATACTGTATATAAGTAAAAAAAAATTATTTTTAATAATTTTTTCTAAAATTAATTTGATAAATTTTATTAATAAAAACAATAAATTTTATTTTATTATTTTTTTTAAAGATTTCTCAAAAATAATAATAATAATAATTTTTTCTATTTAATTTATTTTTATAATTTTTATAAAAAAAATAAAAATAATAGAATTTTTTTAATTAAATTAATTATTAAACTATATTTATTATACCAGAGTTATCATAAAAAGGATTATTTAATTATAATAATAATTATAAAATATTTCAATTATTTTTAATATTAAAATTATTAAGTTTTATATAATATATTAAATATATTTTTTTAACTTTTATGAATATATACTGTATAATTATTTTTTATTTTTATAAAAAATAAACAAAATAATTAAAATATTTTTTAGATTTATTTATAATTTTAATTTATAATTTATAAAAAAATTATTAATTAAAAATTATCAAAAACTTTATTATAATTATTTAAATAATCAATAATATGTATTATTTTTTATTCTTAATAAAAATATTTGATAAAAGTTTTAATTAAATTTCAAAAAATAAATATAAATAATTCAATAAATTATTAAATATAAATTAAATATAAAGTAAAATAATTAAGATATTTTTTAATATAAAAAAAAAAAAAAGACTCTTTCCGCTGATCCTCTAACCACACACAAAAAAGATGTTTGCAAGAAGTTTTTATACTTCTTTACTAATAAAGTCTTAATACTTTCCTTAAACAACTTGAAGTATGATTTCAAGAGTCGCTTCTACCCTTCCCCTATTGTTTACAAACCTCTTCACTTAAAAACTTGACTTCTAATGACCAATAAAAATCAAGTAATACCTTGGATATCAATGGCAAAAAAGTTTCCAAAGAAAGAAGAACTGACTATAAAGTATCTGAAGATCTTTCTAATCTTTAAAGCAAGATGTTTATAGAGGTTTTCTGCAATAAAAAGGTTTATTTTCTTCCTTTTTGACTGTCTTGGTCCTTTTAGAGCTTCCATATTTATAGTTTTTTGAAGAATTTTGCTTATCTCAGTTTAACCCTGAATTTTGGATAGCACAAATCCTTATCAAAGGTGATTGACTGACACAAAATATGTCAGTTTTTGAAATGTAAAAAAGCTTTTATTGGTTTACTCATATATCTCGATACATCATTGATAATATAGAAAGAAAGTTCCAGAAAAAGTGTTCCCTCCAATTGTATATATTCAATCTCTAGAAAACAATTATAATAGCAAAAGGCAAGTGATGAATAGAAATAGAAGATTCAACTTCCATCTTTTATTAAGTTCCTCAGATAATGAAAAGGCTTTCTTGAACAAAAGCTGAGATCTCCAAACTTCTATCCCAATCAGTCAAAGTTCTTAAAAAGATTTCTTTATTCTAATTAGGCAAACTCTTCTATAATATGACACTGGCCTCACGAGCGATAAGCGAATCCATACATTGGTAGAAGGATAAGTTTCTTAAATGTTCTTTTTGAAGTCACTTTCAGGAATGGCTAAGTTCCTTAAACATCATGAAGCTTAGAGAATATTCCAATCAGGCAAACTCCTTTCAAGAGAAAACTGTGAAATAGAGCAAGAATCTTTTGAAGAGCTTTGAATTTTATTTTCCCTTCCCCTTTCTCCAGTGTCAACTTTAGCAATTTATTATTTTTCGGGATAATCTATAGTGACAAACTGTTGGCACTAACCCTGGTTAACTTAAAGGTACTATTGCCAAGCTATTAGAAGAGTGAAATATTGTTACCTAAATTTGACTTAGAGTACCTAATTTAGATTTAGTTTTGTTTAGTCCAAACTAGCTTAGTGGACTTCTCATATTT